GTCTGACGGCGCCCGGGCGGCGGTCGCTCCTGCAGTCCCTGAAGGCCATGGTCGACCCCAACTTCCGCGCCATTGCCCTGGAGCAGATTCCCGCGGAGTATCAGGGGCACTTCTCCCGCGGCTTGGCCTCCGCGCAGTTCTGCGCTGGGTTTGAGGGCGAGGCCTGCGTGTTCGCCCTGGCCAAGAGCGGCGGCCCTGCGCAGGTCCACCAGCGTCAGGCGAGGAGTTGTTTGTTCTGCGACCCCGTTGCTGTCGGCGCCAAGGTGGACGCGCCGGGGGGCGTGAAGGACATCGCGGCTGCGCTGAAGAAGATGTCCGAACCGACAAGGGCGAAGGCCCTGACGGAGCGGATCCCCGAGGACGTCCGGGCCCGGGTCCAGGCGCTGCTCAAACCCAAGGAGCCGCGGCGGCCTCGGCTCGGCGCCCCACCTGAGCTTGGGGAGCTCCAGCGCCGCTGGGCGCCTGCCCTGGGGGAACGGGAGAGCCCGAAGGCCCCGGCCACGGCGGCGCAGAAGAAGGCCTATCGAGAGCGGGTCCTGGCGGACAAGGCTCGTGGCCGGAAGCACGCCGGGCGCCCGAAGGAGCGGACGGCCCCTGGCGCTGCGGTGGACAACTCGGCGCCCGCGCCGCCGGCCAAGCGGTCCGCCAAGGCCGCCGGCCTGGAGCGCTGGGCGCTCCACTACTCCTGGGCACAGTGCGAGGCCTGCGGGGCAATGCTCGCCCGCGACCTCACGCAGAAGAGCCTGACCAGAGATCAAAAGGTCACGGCACCATCCTTGCAGTGTCCTCGCTGCCGAGGCGCCCGAGGGCATCCGGCGCCCAAGCTTGCGGATGTGCCTGAGCCGCTTCGCGGCCTATCGGAGGAGGCTGCGCAGAAGCTCTCCCCCTTGGAGGTGGACGTTGGCTTTGAGCAGCGGGCCAAGCATGGTACCGGCTACCGCGTCCACGCGCACATGCTGCGCCTGCGCTGGAAAGAGGCAAAGGTCAGGGCGGCGATCCGGGAGTTGGAAGACCAAGGTGGCCTACGACTACCTGCGCCAGGCCGAGGATTCCGCCTACGGCGAGTTCCTGCGCGAGCACAAGAGCTTCTTGGAGGAGCACCCGGAAGCGGACAGGACAACCCGGCGCCGCCGGCTGGCCTTCCTGGAGCGGCCTGGGCTGGAGTGCGCCCTGTGGCCAACGCTCTTTTGGCGGCGAGACATGACCTTCAGCCACGAGCGGGCGTCAGACCCCCGGCGCCAGAAGGCGGAGACGTTGGAGGCGGCGCTGCGCCCCGCGCGGCCTGATGATGAGAGCGGCGACGAGGGCGAGGCGGAGGACAGCGACCTTGTCCGCCACAGCATCAAGCGCCTCTACGCAGCGCTGTCGCTGGGCCAGCTCCTCGGCTACACGGACCACTACGAAATCCTCCAATATGTTTACGATCTCCACTTGTGGACCGACCTCGGCAGCAAGCGCAACTTGGGCACAGGCGTTCCCATGAGACTGATGCTGGCCGGCTCGACGTTCAGCCCTATCTACTGGCGGCGCGTCCAGTGGGGCCTGGTCGACCTTGTGCGTCAGGTTGGCTTCCCCAAGTTCTTCTACACGCTTTCCCCGTCAGAGTGGACCCTGCCCTACCACGGCTATGTGCTTGACGGGATGGCCAAGCTCTTGCGCGGGCGGCTGCGCCTTCCAGTCGAGGAGACACTCCACATCGTCCACGTCCTGTTGCAGACAGCAAAAGGCTTTCTCCTAGGAGACTCCTCGAAAAGACTGGCGAGACCATGTCTTCGCGGTCCGCGACGAGACTGGGCAGGGGCGGAGGCTGCACGGCTTCGTGCGCATTGAGTTCCAGGACGGCACTCGCAAGTTGCCAACGCAGGAGTACCACGGCTCTGGGCGCCCTCACCTGCACTTGCTTGTGTTTGGAGATGATGACCTGATCCGGACGCTGGACCTCTCCAGCGCGGCAAGCGCTACGATGCCGTCGGACGCTGACCTGGCTGGCTATGTCCGGGGCTCCCAACTGGACCACAAGCAGGACAGCGGCCGCGGCATCTTTGTGGAGGAGAACCAATATGTGGAGGAGCTGAGCGCTTGGCGGCTGAAACACTTGCCGGAGGATCAGGAGACGGGGCTCCGCGGCTATCTGCCCGATGTGCTGGATGCTTTGAAGTGTCACCAGGACCTCCAAATTGGGGAGGACAAAGTCGGAATGCTCCGCCAGTACATGACCAAGTACTTGGCCAAATTTTCCGACTCAGCGTCGCAGGAGTGGCTGAACGACGACGCGGACGCCGTCAGCATTGCAACCACGGTGCTGAGTCGGTATCATCCGATGGAGCCCGAGATGGTGCTGCAATTGTTCGGCGCCAAGTTTCGCCAGTGGCACTTCACGACGCTGCAGGGAGGCAAGCGCGACTTTGTCGTGCCGGTGCCGGACGCGGAGTTGCCCGAGAAGCACGCGGTGCGGCTCTACGAGGCGGCGGCCTGGGCCCGAGGGCGGGTCAGTTTGTTGGACTTCCTGCGCAAGACCAACGCGGACGGCAAGATCAGCGCGTGGCTTGAGAAGAAGTACGTGGCCCAGGGCGAGCCCGACGAGACCTTGGAAGACTTTGCGGTCCGCTACCGGGCGCAGGGCGAAAAAGTTGTGGCAGCGGAGTGCGTGTCGCGCTTGAACGACCGCCACTACGGCCAGTGGCTGACGCTCCACAAGCCGTTCCGCCGCTGCCTTGACCTGGTTGACGAGGCGCAGCTTGCGAAGGTGCCGCCGCAGTACCGCTACTTGGCCATGGCCCACCTCAACGGCTACGGCGCGGACGACGCAGAGGTCGACCGCGAGCTGAAGGTTGAGGGCCACAGCCGAGCCGCAGCGCAGAGCATCAAGGACATGCTTGCGGCCAACCTGGTCCTGATTCAGGACTACCTTGCAGGAAGGATCCGGGAGCCGCCTGCGGCAGCCGCGGCGCTGGAGGGCCGAGCTGCTGGCCGGGAAGCCGTCGCTTACAACAGCCAGCAGCGGCGCTTCAAGACCTTGCTTGATGCCGCAGTGGCTCGGTCGCTGCTGGCCCGCGGCGCGGACGAAGGCGAGGCGGAGGCGGCCGCCGCCGAGGCACGCGCCAGCGGCAAAGTCCTTGTCTGCATGGGGCCTCCTGGCACGGGTAAGACCACCGTCTGCCACGACAAGATTGAGGAGCTTCTTGGCGGCGAAGGCAAGGTCCTCTTTGCCCTTCCTACGGCTCAGCTGGCCAGCCGGATGCGCGAGCGCTATGGGCGGAGGGCCGGCCTCGAGATCAACACCTGCCACGCAGCCTTTGCCCTGAACGACCCCGTTGCTGGAGAGCTCCCCTACCTGCTCGGCTACGACCTGGTTGTGGTGGACGAGATCTCGCAGCTCTCGGCCGAGCACAGCGACCGCATCATCCGCCTCTGGGAAGCGGCGGACTGCACGCCGGCGCTGGTCTTCGTTGGTGACCGCTGGCAGATGGCTGGCTACGGCGAGCGGCGCCCGTGGGAATCTGTTCGGTGGAAGGTGGCAACCTTTCGGACGGAATTCTTCAAGAGCTACCGCTGCCAAGACCCCGCCTTTGAGAAGCTCCTCAGCAAGCTCCGGACTGCGAAGCCCGATGAGGCAACGCTCAAGGAGCTGCGAAAGCGCAAGGCTTGGGCGCCACCGGGAAAGCCGACGGCTTCGGGCGTCCATCGGCTGCTACGCGCCCATCCCAACACCACGATCGTTTCCTGCACGAGGGCTGGCGCGGAGGAGGTGAACGCCTGCGCGATCGAGGCGCTCTTTGCCAGCCGCCCTGCCTTGGTCAGCAAGCTTGCGGGGGATGTGGAGACCAACCCGCGCAACTACATCGACGGCATCCTGAAGCCCGTTGAGGAGCTGGTGCCGCTCCCGGTCGTTGTTCACAAGGGCATGTCCGTCTACTTGACGAAGAACATCCGGAAGGACGTCGACTTCGTCAACGGCATGTTGGCGGAAGTGCTCGGCTACAACGCCGCAACCAAGGGCCTGCGCGTGAGGACCAAGACGGGCTTCTTGATCGAGGTCTGGCCATGGTCCGACCCAGACCATGGGGGCATTGTCTACTACCCGCTGAGACCTGGCTACTGTAGCACGATTTTGAAGCTGCAGGGCGCCGAACTGAACCACATCACGGCTTACCTGGACGCCCCGAACGTTCCGGGCGCAGCCTACACGGCCATCAGCCGAGTCCGGCGGACGAGCAACTTTTTGATCGGCGGCATTGTCGCGGCCCTCCATTTCACGCCGGCCAAATGAGTGACTGAGTGAGGGGTAGGCCGTGGCGCCGGCTGACGACAAGTGTCTGGAAAAAATTGCTTGGCCGAGCAAACCAGACTGCGCAAGACTTGCCTTGAGCTTTGTTACCGCGCCAGGCCGGCCTTGGCTTCGCCGCAGCGGGCCAGCGCTGCGGGCGCTGCAGAGAGGAGGAGCGTAGGTTGCAGAGGCCAAGCGTCCAAGACTTCTTGGGTCGAAACGAACCCTAAACCCGGCAAAGGTTGAGGTTTGGGTGGTCAGGGGTGGGTGGAAAGCTTAACGCGGCGCGCGCCGCCCCGACGCCCCTGGCGTCGAGGCGCGCGCGGAACTTGGGCAAACCCTAAACCCTAAACCCTAAACCCTAAACCCTAAACCCTAAACCCTAAACCCTAAACCCTAAACCCTAAACCCTAAACCCTAAACCCTAAAACCCTAAACCCTAAACCCTAAACCCTAAACCCTAAACCCTAAACCCTAAACCCTAAACCCTAAACCCTAAACCCCTAAACCCCTAAACCCCTAAACCCCTAAACCCCTAAACGCCGCGCGCTGTCCCCGACTTGAATTCGAAGCCCCGAAAAACGCGGGCGCGGCAGGTCCTTGTTTGCGTCTGGGGTGGCGCGGCATCGGCGGCGCCTGGTCGGCAGGGCAATGACTTCTTGCACTCCGACTCACGCTCGCAAGGCCAAAACCGCACAGCTTCTTTTTTCCTCGCCAAGGCAGAAGCTCTTGTTTACAAAGCCGGAGAAAAATGTTCTGGCGTCAACTGCCCTCCGAACAGCAAATCGTCCCCTCGCGCTACGCGGCTCATGCCGGTGTAGGCGGCTCCAGGGATATTGGCCACATCAAGCCACAGGACTACGTGGGGAAGCTCCGCGCCGGCCACCTTGAGTACGGTGTTGCCGTAGCCAGCCTTGACGGGGTGGAAGGCGCGGGGGCCCAAGCTTGCCTCCGCTCGCGGCCGGATGGCAAGACGGTGCCCAGTGACCGTGACTGCGATCAGCGCACGAGCCGCGCGGTCGTAAGATTCGACAAAGGCCTTCATCCCGTTCACAAAGTCGCGGGCCTTGTCCACGTTCAGGGTCGTGTAGATGGCCATGCCCTCGAAGACTGCCAGGCGCGTGGGAATCAGGTCCTTCGCGGGCTTCAGCTGGCCTGCGGCGGTGTAGTTGTCCGGGTTGGACTCGACATCCGCATCCAGTGTGGCCACTGGGCGACGGCCCGAGAAAATGGCTTGGACGGCCAGGTTGTTGAAGGTCGCCGCGCCTCGGCGAGTGATGGCCAAGAGCGTTGTGTCCGGGTGGTCGCGCAGCAAGCGGGCGACGTCCGCTGTCTTGGGCTGCCCGCCCCTCCACGCCCGGCGGCCGCGGACGATGTCTGTGACGCTGACGCTGCCGCGTGGCCCCGTGGCGGTCGGCTTGGCGGTCCGCAAGGCGCCCAAGACTTGCCGGAACTTCTCGTCCTTGCAGCGAAACAGGACGTGAAGTTGGGTTTGGTGCACGGCTGCCCGCCAAAGTGGCGAGTGCCACGGGCGCTCTGTCCCGTAGCCGGCCATTTGCCGGCGATCCCCAAGCAAACCAAAGGCCGGCGTCTTGTCGACTGCATTGTGAAGGTGGACGGCGTGAGCAAAGTGGCGGGCCTCCAGCTGGCTGAACTCGTCAAGAATCACAAGGTCGTAGCAGGCAAGGTTTAGGCCGCACTCCACGATCTCCTGGTCCAGGCCCAGCGCCGCGTGGCAGGTGTCCACGTCTACACCGCCGCCGAACTCTTGCCGCATCCGCGAGGCCAGCTGCGCCGTGTAGACAGTCCACAGCACCCGAAGCCCTTGCCCGACAGCTTTCTCCACGAGCTCCTTGGCTACGGTGGTCTTGCCCGTGCCTGGCGGCCCCTCCAGAGCACGGATGCGGTTGCACTGCCAAGTCTTTGCCCGGGCCGCGTCCGCTTCTGCTTCTGTGCTGGCAAAGTGCACCGCTGCCGCCCGCGCAAGGTCTTCTTCCATGAGCCGCAGCCACCGGCTCTGTTCGGCGTTCCAGGCGGGCGCCTCTGGGCTGGTTTCGGCGTCTTCAAGCTGCACGTGGAAGGCTAGGACGCCGCAGCGTTGGGCCAGGTCCTCGTGGTTGGCGAAGCTGTGGTAGACTTCCAAGGCCTCCTGCAAGGTGCTGACGTCGGGGACTGCCGCTTGCCAGGGCGTGCTGCGCAGCATCTCTTCGAAGGAGGTGTAGTTGTTGATCTCAGTGACCTTGCAGTGAACCGGGCCAAGGCGAAGTCGGTCGCCGGCCTTGACTAGCGCGGCAACCCCACAGTTCAGCCGCCCCTCAACAGTCTTGGCCCCCGTCGCGATGAGCTCCGCGTACCTGTTCTGGATGGGCAGGAAGTGCGTCCGGCCGGGCCTTGTGACCGCTGGGCGCGGCGCTGGCTTTTGCAAGGCGCCGGACATGTATTGGCGCACCAGCGCGCTTTGCGCGCGGAAGTAGCCCAGCACTTCTTGCCTGTGCAAGCGCCCGTGGCCTTCCAGCAGCATGTCTTCCTCGACGGCGGCCTCGCTGTCCCAGACTTGCCTTGCCTCGGCTTGGGGACAGACAACGCACGTGGCCAGCCAGCGGTCAGTGGGCGGCACGCGCTCTGCGATTTCCGGCAATAGCAAAGTCGATCGGGTCCGGAAAGGCACATTCAAGAGCAACCATTGGCCATAGAACTTGTCGCGGAGTCGCGAGCCTACTCCGCAAGCAACCACCTTCTCACCTTGCGGGCGGTAGGCGTTCGCGAAGTTTTGTAAGGTGTCCGGCTGCCCCGCGGATCGCCATTGCGCCTTGAGCCAGCCGGCAATCTCGCCTTGGTCGTTCGTCTTCCGCAGGTAGTCCAGCAACGTCATGTTGTCAGCTCTCCAGGCGCTGTTTTCGTAGAGCTCTACAACCTTCGGCGCGGGGTCGATGTCGGGCGTTGGGACGTTCAGCGCCCGCCGCCCTCCGCTGTGGGTGCCAATGTGCCACTGGCGGAAGACGGAGCCAAAGAGCTGCAAGGCCATCTCCGGGACGCAGGGCTTGTAGCGGGAGAGAACGGAGGCCGCGATGGAGTTCGCGTCCGCATCGTCGTTGAGCAGCTCTTCCTCCATCGAGTCGCTGAATTTCGGGGCGTACTTGGCGGTGTAGGCCGCGTAGTTCTGTTGCCCGCGCTGGTCCACCTGCACATCTTGGTGACATTTGGTCACTTCCATGAGGGGGCTGAAGTAACCGCGGACGCCTTTGGAGTGGTCTTCCGCAGTATGGAGGAACTCGTAAGCCCGGATGTTGGAGTTGTAGCGGCTCGCCCCCTCGTGGACTGGGAATGGAGTCTTGCCGTTGCCGTCGAGCTGCGAGGCCACGACGAAGCCGCGCAAAGAGGCCGGCTCCACTTCCAGCGTTGCCTGGACGCAGCGCTCCAGGCGTAGCGCCTCCATGTCCTCGTCACGGCGCTCGGAGCCCACGTAGACAAGCTGGTGGGCGTGGGCCCGCCCCGATCCATGATAGTCTTGACTGGGGTCTCGGCGCTTGCCGTCTTGGAACTCCAGTCGCAGAAAAGAAACCACGGAGGCCTCGGAGCCGTCAAGCCTCTGTCGCTGAAGGAGTTGCAGCTCTTCTTCATGCCCTCGCCGCTCTCGCCCTTCTCCACCAACAACAAAACTCTTGCCGATCTGGGTCAGCAAGTGGGCCTGGTGGAGCGCCTCATAGACTTCGTGCTGGAGACGACAGACTTTTCAGCTGTTCGAAAAGTTCTTCCTGGACCGCCCTGCCTCGCCGACCTTTGCGCATGGCGTCCAGAATGTGGCAATGGTTGGGCCATGACCATTCCAGCGGGCTGTGCGTCGCGAAGATAGGCGGGTAGCCCTTCTGCCGCGTGAGGTCCACCAGCGCGCGGTGCATGTCGCGCCAATACTCCGAGGAGAAGCTGTGGCCTTTGAGTAGCAGCCGGAGCGGTGTTCCCAGGTTGAGGTTCCGTTTGGCCCCCAGGTCTGTCCACAAGCCAAGGTCAAAGGCAAAGTGCAGGAGTTTGTAGGAGAGGCTGAAATCCAAGATAGGCGACAAGACCAGGGCCATGTACGAGCGCTTTAGGCCGGTCGCCTCTTCCGGAGAGCTTGCTTCGCCCAACGGGTCAAAGTTCAAGCGCTCCTCCAAGGTGCTGCGCTCGCTGCCGCGGGCTTGCCGGCTGCTGCTCTGCAGGCGAGCCCAGGTCAAGCAGTGCTGCCGCTCCAGGAACAGATCTGGCCACAGGGCGCACTCCAGCCCCTCTTTCTCCATAAAGCGCAGCCAGCGCCGCCGCGCCCAAGCCTCGCACCCCGCGTTGTTAGCCAGAAAGCTCTCGTGCTCCCAGTAGAAATCCGCGTAGGCGGACTGGTCTTTTGCTGGGCCGGAGCACGCTAGGAGCAGGTCGAAGGCACGTCTGGCCGCGCTCTGGGCCGGCTGCGGCAGCGCCGCGATCTTGTCTTTCACGGAAACGGCCGCCCAGGCGAAGGTGACCAACTTCGCGTGCTGCCTGTAGCCGTTACCTCGCCCGAATTGGTCCCGAGAGCGGATGACAGGCCCGAAGTCTGGCTCTGCCGGCTGCAGCGCTTGTCGCACATCCAGCGAGAGACCGCGCAAGGCATCCGGCGGCGGCTGGGGCCGAGGCGCGGGACGCGTGCTGCGGCAAAAGATGCAATGCCTGGCATCGCAATGTGGGCGGAGGAGGCCGCGAAGGCCAGCGGGCGCAAGGTCCCTGGGCTGCAGAGCGCCGCATGAGTCACAGACCTGCCAGGAGTTGAACTCCGCCCAGAGCTGCAAGTTGGCCGCCAGGCGCGTGGAAGCCGCCTTGGGCAGGGGGTCCTCGTTAGAGACTTCCGCGCCGCGCGGCAGTCGCGGCTCTGCTTGCTGCATCATGTTCAAGCTCTTGCGGCGATCGTCGACAACCTTGACCCGGTACTCCGCCGCGGCGACTTCGGGCTCTGCGACAGCCTGCCTTTGCCGCAGCACTTCTTCCCACGCCGCGGCGCCCGCGCTGTAACGGGCTGCAAGGTCCTCCGAGGTGTAGGGCACTGCTCCGCGCCAGGATTGGTCTCGCCGGCGGTAGGGTCTGGACGCCGGTTCTTCTGCCTCGAGCAGGGGCTGGGCTGCAGCCAGTTGGTCACGGTGCTCCGGTTGCAGAACGCGCCCCAGCACTGCTTCTTGCGCTTCTGGGCTGAGCTGCGCAAAGCGCCTGCACGCCGCGGCCGCGCGGAGGGGAGCGTTTAGAGCTGCTTGCAGGTGCTCCGGGTTGCAGAATAGGCAACGCGCCGGACCGTGGGGCTGCGCGGGCTTACCCTCAACGCCAAAGGAGCACTGGATGCCACTGTACCCCTGACAGTACTTGTGCTTGCCGGCAACGGCCTCCTCCACTTCTGCTTGAGGTTGGGCGGCAACTGCGGCCAGCCAGTTCCGGTAGCCAGGCTCCCGAACTCGCCCCAAGGCAACTGCTTGCATCTGCGGGGTGAGCTGCGCAAAGCGCTTGCGCGCCGCTACCGCGCGCACGGGGTCGTTCAAGGCTTCCTCCAGGCGCTGCGGGCTGCAGAAAAGACACTGCGCAGGGCCGTGGGGCTGCGCGCGCTCCCCTCCAGGGCCAAAAGCGCACTGGATGTTGTCAAAGCCCTGGCAGTACTTGCGGGCGGCAGCTGGCTTCAGGACAGCCTCTGCTGGCTCAGGTTCAGGCCGCCCTCGCTTCTCTCCTCTGTTGGCCTGGCAGGGCAAGCCGGGTGGCCGGAAAGTTTTTCTTGTTTTGCCAAACTGGGCTTGCGAGCCGATCGAGGGTCCTCGCCTGCGCGTGTCCTTCTCGGCGGGCCATGGCGTTTCGAATTGAGTCGGGCGCTGGTTGAGCCGAGCTTCGCCCAGAGCCGGCAAGAGATGTCTAGCTGCTGCTAGCTAACGGAAAGTGGCTCCCGTGTAAAAAGGGCATCCAGGCGGGCGAGCTGTTTTTCGGGGGCGGCTGTCCAAGAAAAGTGGCGCCTTTTCCAGCGCGACGCGCGCTCCGTGCCTGAGCCGCCGCGCGGCGGGCGGCCTGTAAGGCGCCGCCCGGCCGCGGGCAGTCGGATTTGAAAAGTCGCCTTGCCCACTGTCCAGGGATTGGGCGAAGCGATCGGAGTCTACCTCTCGGCGGCCGCTCAGCTGGCGTCCTCCTGGGCCTCGCCTTCGTCGCCGTGCTCCGGAGTGATGGGGGCATCCTCGCCGACGTCCTGGAAGATCTTGAGGTGTGCCGCAAACGCCAAGTAAGCCAGCGTCCCAGCCCGGCCCACGTCTCGAGGCCAGGTTTTGGCGCGGATGGAGCGATACTTGCGCGCCGGGCTGACCCCGGCCCACTCCAAAAGGTCCGGCGGCGCCGCTGAGAGAAGCCCAAAGATTGCAGCCGCCTTCGGCTCGGGGCCGTTGCGGTGGGCAGCAAAAAAGTTCACGGCAGCAAGGTGGAACTTCGCAGCTGTTTCTGCGTCGACCAAGTTGCGCAGAAGGCTTTCTTGGGCCTCATCGAGCTGGTTCTCTGCTTCCACCGGCACGTGGTCGCCCTTCAGCTGCTGAATCAGCTCCGCGACCTCCTCGGCTTTGCTCTCTTCCGCAAAGGCCTTGTGCGCGTAGCACAAAGTGAGCACGCCGTGGCCTATGAAGTCTTCTTCTAGCGCCACCTTGTGCTTCGGGGCGCAGAACATTTCCGCTTCCTCGAGCAAGGTTCCGATGTACTCCTCCCGAAGCGCGCGGAGGCTCGCCGCGCAGGACTCGCTTGCCTCCGCCAGGTCGTACTGCTTCCGCAAAGAGTTTGGCACGGCCTCGATGGCCTGCCGCAGCGTCTCCGGGGTCTCCACTGTCGCGTTGAGGTCAGAGGTGCTCTGGAGCCAGCGGAGGAAAGCGGGGGTTGGCCACGCCCCGACGGATGGCTGCTCGGCCGGCTTGTTGGGAGCGGCCGCGGGGGCCTTCGCCGCGGGCTTCGGGGCCGGCTTTGCGCCGAATAAGGACCTCTTCGGAGCCGGCTCCGCGGAAGCCTCGGCCGGCGCCGGGCGCTTGCGCCCAAACAGTGTCGGCCCCGCAGCAGGCGCCTGGCTTGCGCCGAGCGGGTCTTCGGCCGGAGCAGCCGCGGCGGCCGCGGGCGGCGCCGGCTCGGCGAAGGGCGGGGCGGCGTAGTTGCCGTAGTTGCCAAGCGGGTCCCCTCCCGCGGCGGCGACCGGGCGCTGCGAATCCAGCACTTGGTGATTGTAGGCCGCAGTCAGAGCCCGCAGAAGGGCTTCGTCGTTGGCCGGATTCTGGAGGAAGTCCCGCACTGGCGCTGGCAGCGCGCCCAGGTTTTTGGCTAGCTCCGTAGTCCATTGTCCGCGGTGAGCCAGCACCGCGGCGGCCTGACCGGCCGAAAGTTTCGAGCGGTCTAGGGGGCAGTCGAAAACCCGGCCCTTTCTTGTTTCTTTGTTTCCGCGCGCATTCATGCTGAAGTTGTAGATGTTCGCCGCCAGCACCGCCGAGCGCTGAAAGTGGGCCGTGAGGCCCTCGTCGGCGCAGTAGGAGAGCAGAGTCTGCACCGACGTCTCCACTTCCGCGGTCGTGGGCTCGCATTTCTTCGTGGCATCCAGGATTTCGCAAGCGCGCTGGATCTCCGGTCCAGCCGCCGCGGCAATCTCCCCCAAGCCGGTGGCGTCGAAGTGGTCTCGCGCATAGGTCGCAATCTGGGCACCTCTGGCCACCGAGGCCGCCAGCATGGAAAGCCACCTCCCCGGCCGGTTCGCGCCTTCAAAGTTGCCCGCGTGGAGGCGCGCAGACATTCCCTCGAGGGTGATCATGTCCGAGTCCTTGCGCGCCCCACCCTTGTGGACAAACACAGAGCTGTCTTCCGCAGGATATGGGCGAAGCACTTCGACATGATAGGTGGCGTCCATCTTCACCGCGAAGGTTCCGGCGCCCGGGGCGCCAAGGCCCTTGCCCTTGGGCGCAGCGCCTTTTCCCCAAGGAGTCTGCCACTGGCCCTGTCGTCGCGCACCGCCGCGGCCCATTGCTGCGAAAGAGCTTGAAGGATGCGTTCGCGTTCGTGTTAGTTAGCTGAGCGCTGCGGGGAAACAACTGCCTTGGCGGCTTCCCTGCGCGGTGACTTGGGGCCTTGCTCAACACAAGTGGCGCAAGACTACGACTCGAGCTGGCCTGGAGGGCGCCGGCGGCGGCCCTGCGGCGAAGGGCTTGGCCGAGAGCGTCCTGGCAGAGGTGGCCGGACAGCCGAAGCCCTTAGAAAAAGGGGCGCTCGAGGTTAGCAAAAGGCCGACGGAGTTTCATTTCAGGCGAGGTCTTGGGAGTTTTTTTTTCGCGGGGCGGAAAGTGTCTTGAAAGAGAGAGCCGGATAGGCGAAGCCCCCGCAAAAAAAGGTGTTCGAGGTCAGCAAAGAAATTGCTTTTCAGGCGAGGCCCGGAAATTTCTTTTCCGCGCTCGAGGCGCGGGGTTTTTTAGTTTGGCCCTGCCGGCCTGGGCGAGGCAGTCGCCGCGGCGCAGCGCCTTCGTGCCCGCGAGGAAGTTCGCCGCGCGCCGCCAAAGCGGTCGCTTCCGGTCGCCGGCTGTGAAGACCGGCGCGCTGCTTTCCTGCTTGGGAGGCGCGAAAAGCGAGGGAAGCGGCCTGATGTACATTTGGAGCTCGCAGCCCCTTCGGCTTACATTTCTCTGAATTGGCTGGCAACACAATTTTTCGGGCAAGGCCCTGGGGGTTCTTTTTCGCGCTCGAGGCTCAAGGATTTTTGGATGGGCCCCGCCCGCCTGGATGAGGCGGTCGCTGCGGCGGCGCCTTCGCGCCCGCAGCAAAGTTCGCCGCGCGCCGCCCGAGCGGCCGCCGTCGGTCGCCGACTGAGAAGACCGCCGTTGCCCTCCTGACAAGGCGACCCGGAGAGCCAGAGGATCGGCTCCATTTGTCTTCGAAACTTGCGGCTACTTCTTATTTTTTCTAGAGGGCTCTTCCCGCCTTGCCTCCGAGGGCTTTTGGCCCGCGACCGCGGAGACCGGCGCGACTTCCTCCTGACGGGGCCGACCGAAGCGCGGGGCGATCGGCTTGACTCGCGCCCTAAAACTTGCTGCCCTTCAACTGGATCTGTTTTTTTTGTGGAGGGCGCTGACCCCTGATTGAAGCTGCCCAGACTTCTTCCCGCCTTGCCTCCAGCGGGCGCCGGACAGGGCCCCGACAGGCTTCCGAACAGGCCTCCGGGCGCGTGTCCTGGGAGCGATTGACGGACAAGGAAAGTTGAGCGGGGCAAGTCGTCACTCAGTTGGGGGGCGACCGCTCGTGTCTTAAGCTGTGGGTTAACTTTTAACTTGCGTCGGCGCGCCCCGTCGTTTCCAAGTTCGGAGGTGTCTTGGGCTGCGGGTTAACTTAACCTGCGTCGGCTTGCCCCGTCGTTTCCAAGTTCGGAGGCCGAGAATGCGCTTGTCGCGACTTGACCTCGGCCAACTTTCAACTGCTGCGATTTGCCAGGAAATCACAAATATTTGATTTCCTCAAAAGCCAAAACTGTGTCGAAAGTTGGGCTAACATGACATGCCCCCGCGCATTTGAAACTAGATGATCTATCTGACCGCGCCTTGTTTGGCCCTAGGCGAAGCCGTTTTGCCAAAATTTCCCAAAATGTCGAAAACACGTGACAGCGCTAGTGTTTTCTTGGGGGGCCCGCCTAGGGCGCACTATAGCTCTTGCGGGAATAGCCCGAATTGGCCTAGGCAAGCCTCTAACTTGTGCGCAAAGCGCATTTTTTTGCGACATCTTTTGTTCTCAGTTGGCTTGAAAACAAGGGCTTTTCCTTCACTTCGCCGTGTTCTCGCGATGAATGTTTTGGGTCCCCCGTCAGGGCCAAAAAATCAAGCTTGGGGCTCCGAAAAGTTGCCCGGCGGTTCTCGAGCTTTCGACTTGGCGCCGATCGCTCGCCCCGTCAAAAACAGTGAACAGTCCTAGCGTTTCCACGCCCTTTGGCCCCCGCCGTCGCTGCCCTTTTGCCCGAAAACTCCGTTTTTTTGACCCGAAAACGGGGCTCCCATAGGGGTCCGTGCCTTTTGAGGGCTTTCCGCAAACCTGGCTGCGAAACGCTAGGCTCTGGCATCGAAAATCTAGCAAAAAAAAAGGCTGCTATTCGCTGGCAACAAGCGCATTGAGCGCGTGTGTTCCCCGGAAGGCAATGTAAAAAATTCGTTCCCCGGGGTCTTCCGAAAAAATCCTAAACCCTAAACTTTTGGTAGAAAAAATTGAAAACGCGAATTTTCGATGCCAAAACCTAGCGTTTTGCTAGCAAAAAACTGCACGACGACCAAAACCGCCCGCCCGTAGTGGCTGAGCCAGGCCTGAGGCCAGAACTCAGAAAAAAAAATTCGCGAGAGTCCAGTTTAAGGGCATGCGGCCCTTCCTTCGCGCCCGCGCTCAATCGCGCGGAGAACGCGCCGCAGTCCATCCCCGTGACGGACCGCGACGACGTCCAACGGCGACGGCGTTGGAT